TATATACTAATCCTTCTCACTTCAGGTGAGCGCTGTGAGATAAAATGAGGACATTAAAAATTATGAGACTGTATTAAAGTCACCTCCATAAGCAAGTCAGATACATTATCTATCCAATATAATTTGGGTAAAAATATATCATGTAAGCTATGTAAAGATTGCCACGACAAACAGCATTATCTAACGTAACACACTTGAATGCAGAGGCCCAAACAGAAGTATGGTAATTGCAGTATGACAACAGAAGCACTGACTTAAACTGACAACATTTTGCTTTGTATTTAAATAAAGATTTAGCCACCTTGTTATGCAGTGCACATTAGGTATATTCTCCCAAGATTAAAAAAAAAAAACAAAAAACTTACTCTTTCAATTAAAGAAAAAGTTAGTTGACATGAAATTTAAAACTGGGTCCTTTAAAAAGTTAGCATCTGTGTCAATTTTTCCTTTGTCCCAAATGATCTTTTAATAACATGGTAACAGAGACTCTTAAACCTTTTCATATGTTTAAACTAATTGAAATCTTGTGCACAGGTTATATATAAAGAAATTAGGTTGCAATTAAGCATAGTTATTAATGATTCTTAAATCTAATTGTTGTCACTATTATAGACCACAGACAAGGTCAACCCTACAACTCAGGAAACCAGCTCCAGCTTTAAAGAAAAACATACCACCTGAATTATATGCATAAAACCCACTTTTGTAATTATATAGCTCTAATCATACTAAGCATGTTCATCTATGTAAAAAACCAGCGGTTTCCAAACTGTTAGATTAAAAACATATCCCCCTGTAAAACATTAAATTTAATTTAGTAAATACAGTAAAAACACATTAAGTAAAATTAAAAATACTCTTACAATAATTTAAAAAAAACCTACTCTGCAAAATGTTGTGCTTATAAGCAAATCCAAATGTAAATCATTTCAGCAATTACTGCAGAGTCCTTACACTAACTGCATAAATGTAAAATATGTGCTTTAACTTCTGCATATTAGCAGCAAGGTTCAGATCACTGTATTTCAGATTTTTGGTCAAGATCGCTTCCCTTTCACCTGTATGCATTAGAAGGAAAAACGCTGGTGTCATCTAAAATGGAAACTCATAAAGCAAGACAACACACTTCCCTCCTAATCTGGTGACAGGAATAACTGGAGAACAGAGAGAAGAAAGAAAAGTTTTCCTCTCTGAAACAAAACACACTGAGCCAGTGAATTGCAAGAATATCTTTGCAGCAGCACAAGAACACAAGGCCGTGAGATGCTAGGTTCTTGTCACGAGATCTGAGACATTGAGTCACAGACAACCATAAGACCGTCCATACAAAATACATTCCCACTCCTCTCTTGTCTGAGCAGAGACTCCGCTCCAAGACAACTGCTACGCTAGCTCTCCGCTTGTACAAGTTCTGATGTCTCACAGGGTACATCTGCATTCGTACTTTAGTTTGGATAAGGAGAGCACTTTTGCAACAAACCTTCCTATCACCTAGTTAATGCACTTTCATTTGCTGCATGGAGCAGTCCTGGAGTGCGCAAACCTGCTTCCATTCAGATGAAAGTAAAAACCACAAGACATACTCCAGGAGCACTGCCAAAGGGGCACAGGAGCAGACAGGAGCCAGTCCAAAGTAACACCCACTTCACTTTGCAAATGCACTGAGCATAGAGAGGTATCAGGTCCTCATCACCGATTATTTCATTCTCTGAATCCACTCTCACTGGACTGCATTACTTGCTCAGGCAGGCCCAGCTACTGTGCTTCAGGGTCTCCTTTCACCTGTGAGATGGGACCTGACTGCACCTGAGGTTCACTGAGCTTCTCAGGCTTTGCTTCCTCTTGGGTTTTGTGCCTTCTATTGTCCAAAGTTCTCACCTCTAGCCTGTCATCTCTGTCTGTTTGACTATTCACATGTAACAGCTTACTCTTCCTCCGTATCATCTAGTCTCACCACACTGAAACTTCTTCTCCTAAGGACTACTCAGAGCCTGAGTATGACTCATCCTTAATTAAATAAACTTAATTCTGGCATTTCTTAACTTTGAGTGCTGGCTGGCTATTAAAATAGTAATACTTTAATGGGTTCATCACTTAAGCACACAGAGAAAAACAGAGCACTGAAGCCAGTGGTGTAGCATCACATCGACTCTTCAGTGCTCAACCGCAGAGTTAAAAGCTTACAAACATATAGCCCTCAGCCCTCTATTACTGGCATGGATACAGCACTAAGGATAATAAAGCAAACAGTTTCTCAGCAGGTTTCACAGCGGTTAAGAATTGTAACACTGTGCCCTAACAGACCCTGTCTTCCCCAGCCTCTCCCTGTCAGAGTCTCAACTTGGAGAGAGATCCCCCACTCAACTTTTAGTCCTCCCCTCTCATTCCTACATTCAGTTCACTTAACCCGCCTTTGTAATGGCCTATTTCATTAGCTGGCTCCTCAAAACCATTCTTCATCCCAGTACTTCCAAGTCATCCTCATACTCCTTGATTGGGCTGTGAATCACAGAGAGAGATTGTTTTGTTCTTTTCCTTGTATCGCAAACCTTCCTGACTGCTGAAGAGAACAATTTTAAAAGGTCCTAGACTATATCCACATGACCAAGTAATTTAGCATAATAGAAGCAGATCAGTCAACTGAAGCAGCTGGTGCCCAGGCCGCTACGTTTCCAGCATGTAGCGTGTACGAGTTTTACGTCAAGTTAAATTCAGTCTGGAGCCTCAGATTGAACATTGCACCATACACATGGTTCAGGGCTGTCCAAAGGACCGATCGCTGCGGCTGGAGTTCAGTTGGTGTCCGCCTGGAGAAGAGATCCCACGCTCAGCTTCCTCCAGGAGGAACCTGGTTGGTACCTACCAAAACCACCCTGTGAACTGAGCCAATGAGTGTCAAGTGGGGATGACGAGAGAATTCACTTTAAAACTGTAATAGCATGATAGCTTGTGGAAGCAAGACAGCTTTACCCAATCCCACGATGCTTCTTTGTACAGAGAGAGAATATTTAGCTGCCAAAATAAGAAGTGTCTACTAAGCATATTCCAACTTTCAGAATTTAGATTAAGTTTGGATACTTTTTCTTGGCAACAACAAAAAAAAGCACTTAACAACTTCGAGTCTCTTGCTCCACAGCAAGGTCAGGGTAGAAGTTGTAATTACATGAAATGTATAACCATTGAATTAAACGCTTACGAATTCTTGACATTGGAAAAAAACACTGCACTTTTCCTTTTGTTTTCAGAAACAAACAAAATGAATGCTTTAATCCAACAGCAACCAGAATAAGTCAGACACAGAAAATTAAGGACAATATTAGGTCTAATAAAAAAAAAAAAATCCCACTTAAACCTACACAGTTACCTATAGCCAGAAGGAAAAAAACAACTATACATTCACTCAGAATTAATTAAAATAAGGAAAAATGCATGTCATGAATTGTCTTTACTTAAAAAAAAATAATTACTAACAAAACTGACATCAAAGTGTCAACTCAGTAGGCTTTTCTTCAAGTAACAGATAGTAAAACAGCATGAGGAAAACTTTTACTTTACATTTCCGAATTTCAGATATTCAGTAAGACATTGAGTGTCATTGTACATTGTCCTTTTCTGGAGCCCAGTGATTAATATATGCGTATCCACTGCTCACAGAGAGTTGATATCAGGGTGTAATAAGAATGAGCGATATTACATGAAGGAACTGACATCATGTAGAAGAAAAGTATGTGGATCATCCTAATCATTCTAATACATTTGAAAGAAATGTGTATAAAATAATCAAAAAAAGGAAATCAGATACCCAAACTGAGTAAACAACAACAAGATGGGAAGGAAAAATGAATTAAAATTTTAAATAGTTCCTGTCACGTAAAATTTGTTATAAGTATATATTCCAAAATAGGAAGCAGGCCTTAAACTTCACATAGCTTAGCCCATTTTCATCTACAATACCCATAATGCATCCTGAAATACAATTTATGCAGGAATAATAACAGAATAATAAACTTTTTCTCTCATTCTCTTGGCTTCTTTGACATTTAATGTCAATCTGCAATAACAAAGCTAATAATGATCTTTGTCTTCACACTGCTATTGAAACAAAGCATTTCTCTGTAAATTAAAGGGTAATTTTGTTCCCACTATTCCAGTCTAAATCTTTCTAAATCACAGAAGCTCATGGCATAAATCACCCTATAATCCAGATCACCTTCTCTCTGCAAGAGAGATGATGTTCTTTTGGAAATAATCATGTCCAGCAACCATAACCCAAAGCAGAGCAGCATGAAGCATGGAAGATTTCACCCAAAGTTCATTACATTATACAAATGCCAGATATTTCTAGAGGTTTCCCATTCAAAGCTTAACATACAACAACCTTCCCAAATTTGTAAATCACATGGTGACACATTATAAACTGACATCTCAAGAATTTACAGGCATTCAAATGGAATAGAAAATCGTACTTTAGACTGGCTTATAATTAGGAATATATTCTTTAATCATACAGCTTCCAGGTCTGCAAAGTAATTGGGTGTATGCTGAGCTTTATGCAAGTATTATGTTGATTTTATGGGGACTACTTGCATTTGTAATACAAGCTGAGCCACAGTGAATGCTTTTGGCATCTAGGAAGTTTCACACAAAGTATCACATCTGCAACAGCTTCCAGGCAACCTTCTACTGTGCACCTCTTCCAGCTGCCACAACAGCCTACTTAGTCTGATCCATGGGTGACAGCAGCTGCAACAGCAAGGTTAAGTGGGAATTACTGAGTCCAACTTCCTCTTCACTGTCAGTTACCCCCATAACCAAGGGCAGTGCTGAGGGTTAAGTATTAACAAGACCAAGGCCTTAATGGCCATTAATTCCATATGGTCAGATTAGGTCACTGCAGACCAGAAGATAAATCAAGAATGCTCATATGTGTAACCACGTAACACCACTGCACACAGCATACCATACATCAGAAGAACTTTCCATTAAAAGGTAGAACTTACCCCTCTTCTGAACCCAGCCTTCCTTCACAATGGTAACATCGCTCATGATGGCTCCACTCTGAACCCCCAACTCAAAAGAGTATTTCTTTGAGTTATCAGCTTGTCTGCTTGGCTTCTCTTCTACAGTTCTTCCCAGTTTCTACTGATGAGTCAGCCTGGAAGGAAATATTAGAGAAAGAATTTAAGTCTTTTCTGTTTTTCTCACTTGACAGCCAACAAAAAAGTCTTTGTTGATGTCTTCCACTGACTGAGATCATATTAAAAATCTGCCTTTTTTTTAATTAACCATATAACAGAATCATGTTTCTAGTTTTACAGCACATTTTCCCTGAACACTGTAATACTTAAAAGAAGCAGAATGTGTTAAATTTCAAGTCATATGGCACTTTTATAAAATGCACACAGTAGAATTCTCTCATACTAATGCATAGGATGCTGTTAAACGAAAGGGTGCTGGTACTGCTTCACAGGTCCAACTCTGAATGCACAGGAACTTCAACCATTCCCACATTTGTCAGAATCCATGCAATGGACAAGTGGTTCCTCTATTATGGCTACATCAATCATAACAAGAGTGCAGTGAAATGGAAGGAAAGGTTCTGTAAAGGAGCTTAAAACCAAAGCCTTAACTATTATGGATACGGTTATCCTCATAACAGTTAAAATCTGTAGTAACCAGTTTACCAGTCATGCAATTAGATTTTTTTAATGCTTTAATTAAAAGAAAAATAGTAAAGGCTACAGAAATATAACCTTCCTACTTCCACTATAACTTCATTATAGCCAATACAAATCCTTAACTTACAGAAGTTTTTTAAAACCAGCATCATCTGCAAGTACAAGAACAGAAAAACAACTTCTTAGGAGTACAAATTAACCAAAAAAGCCAATGTTTAGTTTATGAAAAGAAGGAGCACACATTTTCTCAAGGCTTTAAGCCAGGCAGCGACAAGAGTGCTCTTTTTCCTACAAAGCTCAGCTTGCAGGGAACAGAAGGGAAGTCAGCCCTGGGACAGGACATGCCACTCTCAGAAGCTACAACCCTCTCTTCTGACCACCTCCGTCCCAGAGTACCTAACAGCTGTGAAGAAGACATAAATACCACTACAAGCAAGTAGGCAGAGAAGCCAGAGGGCAGGAGAGGTTTCCTTTTGCCAGCAGACTGCCTTTGCCCTCCACCCTTCAAAATTAAAGAGCAGCATTCAAATAATGCTCATCTAGAAAAGTATGGGAAGCCAAGAAAAGGGATTACTCTGATGGTGGAGGAACACCCTTCTAAGGCTGTACACACAGAAGCACGTGTGTACACAGTGCTAGCACGGAACAGGAACTCGCACACCTGTTTAGTACTATCAAACACAACACATACATATCCATTTAGTAGACTGACCAACAAATGTAAACACGTGACAGACAGAAACACGTATGACTGTGTCAGAAGAAATCTGTGCAACAAATGAATGGAGAAAGGACTGGGAAATAAGCTGGTTTTATCTAACCAAGTACAGGCTAAAAACTGAACCATTATATGCATGCAGGTTATTTTTTATTTATCATTTGAAAAACGTGTATTTGCACCACAGAGCAGCTAGATGGAAGGCTACTTCTGTATGGATGCTGGGCTGTGCAAAAATAAAACTTGGTATGAGTATTTTTTTCAAGGGGTATGCAGCAAAAAAATGCAGTACAACCTGATTTTACAGAAACACTGAAGTGTGTCCATTTTACAGTTTTGCTTTCACTGAACTATTTTTTCAAAAACATGCAGTATTTCAGCTGCATAAAAGTAAAAACCACAATGCTAAATTCATTAATACTGCAAAGTTTAAGTAATATTGAATACAGTGCCTCTGAGACATCTCCATGGCATTGGCAGATATGAGAGTAAGACCCATGCAGGTGATGCACAGCCTTTTGCATTGGCATCATACCCCGTCATGTCTAGAAGCACACCGGGCACCTGTGTTTATGCAACTGCACCCTGCCTTAAGACTTAAATATTGTTTAAGCTTTCATAAGAGTTAAAAGAAAATGTTATGTACAAGGTTTTGGAAGGATATGAGACTGCTTCGTTACTGTTAATTGATCTCACTAGCTCTAGCTGTTTAGACTTTGTATTATGTAAGTCAGTATGGCAGAAATAACCAGAACATGCATTTCCACATCCTTCACATTACTAGTGTGAGAGTTATTTTCCAGGTCATACATTACCAGAACTTTTGTTCGCACACTTCAAACTAGAGATAAGCAAATCAGCTGCACGTGGAAAGAGATCCTGACAGATTAAGACACGCACCTGAAAGCAGGCTGCAGTTTTGCCATTCTGGATCACTGCAGCACAGTATCAGCTAATATTACAAACACACAAATCTTTACAAAGCCAGACGTGAGCGTCAAACAACTGTTACCTAAAAGCAGCTGTTCTGTGAAGGAAGTGTAAGCACATTAGTATCCAAATATCTGACTTAAGTTTGATTTTCCTACAAGACTTTCATTGCATTCTTTAAGAAGTGATCACAGGTGACTTTTTCCCAACTGTAAAGACAAAAGAAGCAATGTACCACACAGTACTTAGCTTAGGCTGGCATATGCTGCAATATGTTTTATCCTTTTGGTAAATTTAATGTACTTTCCAATTTTGGTGTGTGCTTATGAGAATTGCAATAATTTATTGTTATTGGTAGAGACTAAGCTGTAAGAAATGAACTTCTGTACTAAGGAGCAATAATCTTGTCTGCCCACATACTATCTTTAAGTCCACGATTTCAGTAGACACCCAGTTTTAACAAATGACTTTTTATGCTTAAAGCTCCCTATTTATTCAGTGATTACAATTAAGTTAGTATTACTCAAACAAAATCTGATCTATGACCAGTTTTCACATCAGCCAGTGTCCCAACAACCTCAGTGGTATGTCTGTAGGATTGCATCCCACCCATCACACATACTACTTTGCTGAATTTTCAACAAAACCCCCAAAATACAAAAATCAGATAAATATGGTGAGAAAACTAACTGAATTAACTCCAGTTTAGCTTCACAATATTACCAGGAACAACTTAAGCAGAATTATCAACAGTTGTATGGTTACATTGACCACTCCCTTAATGGGTAATTAAAAGTCAAGCTGAATTACATCCGGAGCTGAAGGAGATAAATCAAAGCATTAAAAGACTAATAAAAATAAAGGTTATATGTTCACAATACACTTTCAAGAAGCCATTTGTAAGCATCTGTAGTATGTATTATCCCTTATTAAATTCCTTTGAGGCTTTCTAAAAGCTGTATTCCTTTACTCTGAAAGTCACTCAGCAAAGCTCTAAAAGAGCAGACTTTTGAGAATTACTTAACATGACCAAAACTGACCTTAATGAAAAACACGTCATAGAGAAACCTTCTTCCCTGAAGATGTAATAAAGGATTGTCTATAGACTTAAAGGAGTTGCCTGAAACATATGGAACAAGAACTCTTACATGAAAATAGCATTTCATCTATAGTTCAACTATTTCAAGAAAAGCTACAGAAATGTTTATTCTGCACAGCTGGTGTAGACTTTAAATACTTGTTAGCAATCAACTCTGCTCTCCCAATGCGCTTCAAGTCTCAGCAGCTGATATATAGTAATTTTTACAGTTTCCCTTACTGCTATAGGATGAACCCACAGAAACAGGGAAAAAATGTGTAAGAACTGAAGTTGAAGACATTTTGCATTCCAGCTGCTTCTTATAGGGAAAAACTTGATTTGTTTTTATATATGTTCCAGCAACTGGAGAACAGGTTGGATTGCTTTTTTTCCCCACGTTATCAAACAGAACTTGGAAGATACTTTTTCAACAGTATATTGTGTGTATTCTGCAGACAGTATCAGGTAGTCATGTATATGCATAATACATACAAGAACCTATTGTCAGCATGCTTTATGGTGCAGGTGTAAAAATTTACTCCATCGCAGTCAGTCATGTGAAGAAAACATCTGTAATTTTTTGGATCTGGTAAAAAATAGTAGAACTTTTCCTTTCTTCTTCGGAAAGCTATTAAGCCACTTTTATTGTGTTAGATGAAACAATTCACCACACTTCTAAAGAGCTAGTAGTACACTTCTAAGTTCCTAGCTGTAGAGGTTGCAAAGGCATCTTTCTGAACAAAGATTAAGCAGAAACTATTACACGCAGCAGAGTTCCAGATCCCTCTGCCAAGGCTCACAGTTTTCCCAAGCCATGGTAACAGCTAGCCGACACCTTTTCAGTTTTCATCTTCAACTTCAAGAATAACACCAAATAGAGAGAACCAGCCCACTTCAGGTTGCTACCATATGGGAACTATAAGACCAACCATTAAAACGAGCAATGGACCATTCACGTAGGAAGACAACTTTCCTCAACTTGTATTTTTAAATTAAAGCAGGCTCTCACGCCCATCACAGCAGCCAGGTACCTCCACAGACCCGGTGGATGGCAAGAATGAAAGAAATCCCTTCCAAGCAGAAGGACTAAAAACAGTGGTTCAGGTCTACACTTAACAACCACTATAAGTAAGTGAAAAATCATTGAGATTCATAAGAACAGACAACACTCCCTTGGAATCTGGGCATCCTCCCATCTCCCCCGTGACAAGAGACAGCTGAGTAAAGAAGACAGTGCCCATAAATTCAGTGTAAATTGTATGATTCAGGTCTATGTTGTAAGAACTTTCATAAACACAGGCTCCTACTTTCAACAATTTTGGAGCTGAGAAAAAACAGATACTCTGACATTTACCAACTCAAGTTACCAGAGAGAATACCAACAGGATCAGTTTCAGTGCTTCCAGAGACAATCCCTACAACTTCTTGTAGCATTATCAACTCAATGATTCATCCAACCTTATTCTCTTAATGCATAAGGGAACTACCATTTTCCCTTTTTACAAATAATCATTTGGTTAGCAAGTGAATTCTTCTGATTCACTTTGCCTGACTCACTGAGATTCTTTGGTCCTCAATGTATGCAGAGCCAAATCTCATCATCTCTATCTCCTTATTTCCCAGAAAGGTAACTGAAAAATTTTGTGCATGCACACACAAAACACACACTACCAAAAAAAGCAGCTCTCAGTCATCCTCTAGTGGCTTCCACCACACATTTGTTTCCCTGCTTTGGGGGCCTTTTTTGTAGCAGA